GACAAGCCACTATGGCTCCTTCCAACTTGACCTGTTCTGTGATTACCATTAGAACAGTGCTGTGCTGCTGTGTTTTCTTCTAGTGTTTATGCTTTAAGAAAAATAATACAAACTTCAGAATATTCAGCAGGAATATAAAAGAACTACAGGACTCAAAACCAGGCAGCACAGCGGAATCACACCCGAAATTAATCCAGAGAAGCTCCGAATTAAAAACCTGCATTACCTCCCCCTTCAGAAAAAACCCTTATCTAGAAAAGTAGTGTTAACAGAACAAGCCATACATAAAGCTAAGTAGGAACAGCAACTGCATCTCTTTTAATAGAGAACAAACCCAAAACCTTTATTGTACAAAGCGGAGGAAAAAAACAACTTAGAAAAGTATGTCAAGTGATACATTACACAAAGAAACTCAATTTAACTGCTGTCTGAAAGCTACTCCAGCCAAGAATTCTTAGTTTAAAATGGTCACAATCATTTCTCTGACTTTGGCTACAAAGAGGAAACCCATTTTAATTGGCTGTTGATGCCAACATTAAACTAAGTTCTGTAACAATTCAGATATGTGCCTTCAGCTGCTACATGAGAAAATCAGCAAGACTAGAAACAATTTAAGAAGGTCAGTAGCCAAAAAGGGACAGAGACAAAGAACAAACTGAACACTATTTCTATCCAATAAGAAATCATTTCAATAATCTCAAGCAGCAATAGACAAATAAAATATCTGCATTCACAAAGTGAAATAAAATTTTAGCAAAGCTGAACACTGTCAGTGACAATAAAGACTGCTTTCAATAAAAAGCTCAATCATTAACGTTACAGAGCCTTTTATGAAAGGATGATTCCCATCTATCCTTCCACCAGTCTCAGCCTGAAAGCTAAGAGCCAGGGGAAACAGACTTTTCAGAGCATACAAACACATGCAGGTATCCAAAACATTACTTTAAGAGTCTTCTACAATAGTCTTATCACTGATTTTTAAGAGTGTCCCATATGTCTAAAAATTTATTTGCAATCAGCTCATATGATTAACAAAACACCTTTGCTACTGGCTTAAAGAAGGTCATGGTGAAATTTAATCCTTGGCACTGGAAGGATGGGAAATCTCTCTTGCAAAATCTTTTTTGAAAATTAAGATTTGCCTCAAGGAGAAAGGAAAAGGATGTAAGTGGGGAGGGCCAGGAAATAACAGACAATTAGAAACAGTTAATATACAAAACAAACTATGAACAAAACTAGTTTACTGAAAAAAATCAAAGACTTGATTGGAAATAATTTCCACTGTAACATTAAAATAGAAAGTAATAGCCCAGAAATAAAAGCTAATTTTAGAAATCCGCTAAGGAATGGAAATTCACTATAGAAAAAGACATGCTTGTTTGCTAGAAAACAATGTTAGTGCCAGTCAGTGCTAGAAAAAAAATCCTTGTGTTTCCATTGTTCCTTTCACCAGTAAAATCATTTACATCACCAACTCTCACAAAGAATCTAAACAGGCAAAACAAAAATTAGGCCCAAAACCAAAGAAGACAAAGTGCAGTCTGCCTACCACATCAGACAGTGTTTGCCAGTCTATTGGGCTAACAGGGCACTACTGGAGATAAACCTTTTAAATACAAGGCTTCCATTATTGGGACATACATTCCTCACAAGAACTGAAGTTGTTTTCAGAATCCAGCTAGAAAGTTAACTGAAGAGGAAAAAACCACCATAAGATTTCAGTTAATAATAAATACTGTTTTGTAGGTAAGATCCAAGAGTGGCCAAGCTTTCCTCCTAGAACACTTCAATGGCCAAATTAGCTGAAAAACTTCAGCAAGAAAGTTCTACAAATTTTGGGAAAATGAGCCAGTAAGGTTCTCTGACACTTTCACACTGTGTCTGGCTATCAAAAGCATCTTCTTATTTGGTCGCATAAATGAAACAACTGTATAATTCAAAAACATAGATTTATGGTGCTTCCAGTTGCTGAACTGAACTTTTCCCACCTAACCTTGAAAATTACCAAGACCACAGCATATTATAATATTAATGTATGTTGGAATATTAGACTTCCCTGAATCACCTATATATTTTTGCAGGTTGTACTTTAATCTAAAAATTGTATTCTGCCAATAAATAATTTCAATGAAAAAGTAAGATTTCAAGGACCCTCTAGGTTTTAATTTCCTAACAGAAGTAAACATTACTGTAAGGCCATCACAACATTGTGACCATTACCCAATCTTCCTGCATGAGGAGGGGCAGGAGGGAAGCTAGTAACTGTGAGTTACAGAATATGGAAGAATCACTTCATCTTTGATGATCAGAATTACTGTGTTTCTAGAATAACCAGTTACATTGTTTTCCCCAGAGGGAAAACAAAACAGCAGCAGCTGCAACCTCCAGAAAAAAAAACAACAACAACAAAAAACACCAAAACCAAAAACCTGCTTGAAAACTTTTCTCCAACTTTAACAGCTGCAGATCACCTGTAAACAGATTAAAGTTTGCCCTGTATAGGCCCACAATTCTATGACCACACTAAACTTCACAGGAAGGATCAGCTTCTTAGTGTAGCCTGAGAGTGCCCTTAGTTTTGAAAGCAGACTAAAATTCCTGGGTATGAAGCAATCATTTACACCTTTACACCCCAAAGTCACAGGTTTGAGGGTGTCTGCACACATGCAGCCCCACATCCCTTTGATTAAGCAGCACAAAAAAATGTTTTAGAACACACACAGTAAAGGCTGATAGACCAGTACAAAATTAAAATCCTGTGGTTTTCCCTCTTGATTGTGGTCATGAGAACATTAATTTGCTTGTAGCATTCCTAAGTTTGTGGCAAAATCTTAACAACACAAACTCAAAAAAGTCTTAATCCTATTTTGTTGGAAGGGCCAAGAGCCTAAAACCATGACCCAAAAATGGGCTTACTGAGAAATAGTGCTCAAAATTCTGCAAATAGGATTACAGCTTACCTTGCAACAGTATTCAGTTATTTAATGGCTGTATCAACCAGCCCAACTGAGACATCATTGCAACTAGAGAAACTTGTGGAATTCCAAGATTTTAAGCAGCAGATCAACTGAAAGAATAATACCCCTTTTCCACAATTACTGTCCCAGAGCAGCCCTAGGCTTTCTGAAATAATTATTTATGAGTGTGACTCTGGGATAATAGAATACAAAAGGAAGTTGAATCACCTACCATATGAAAACACTAATTGAAACCATTAAGAGACACAAAAATTTAGACTTTAAGATGAGCCTCCACTCATTCAAGCCTGAGTTTTACAAAGATATCTTTATTTACTTTGAAAAATCAAATGGTAAAATAAGCTCTCTCTACTTCAAGACTTTCTAACAAATTTTGTCATCAGAAATAAAGGCCATGTCTAACCAAGGCCAAAGTAGTCTCCTTTATGAAAGTTAGCAGAGCAACCATATGAGAGAAAGCTGAACCACCCTCAAGACCTCCAAAGTTTTCCAAAAGCGTGTTCCAGCCCACTACAATGAAGAAGCACATAACCCTTACATAAAAGTGATAGACAGCAGGGTAACCTCAATAGTTCTGATCAGAAACATCAAAGCAAGGCGTTTGTTTGCTGAACTAAGGTTCATATTAAAGGAGATGCAGCCAACACAACTAGGAGACTTTTACTGTATTTGCACTAAAGCTTGCATAGAAGCATGTTTTTAGTAAAAAGTCTCTAGATAGTCACAATGAAACATACTGTTCACTACAATTGTTTGCATGCTCTACATTCCTCCAACATAAGCAATGCAAATCAACCTTGGAAAAAAGGGAACCACTCTAGGCTTTCCCCAGTCCTCCCTCTCCCCTAGGCATCCCCAGCATCTCCTGGCCTTCATTTACAAATTCAAATGCACCTGCACTTAAGAACCGCGTTGGACATGCAGCATGACCTTAATTATGGCCTGCATGAAACTCAAGTGCAAGTTACTCCAGAAAAACAACTCTTCATTTGACAGACTCGGTGAGGTCAGAATGCCTCCGCTCCCCCTCCCTGACACGTTTTATGTCCAGAGAACACCAAGCACAGCAATGTCCTAGGCCATGCTCTCCAGCCAACCAAACGCCCTGCAAGAGAAAGGGACCAAGAGCTTTGCCCAACACAGTGACCCAGCAGACAGAGCACCGAGAGCCAGCACAGAAACCTGCTGAGCATCACACCCTTCCATGGATTCAGGCACCCTAACTGCGTGCGCCAGGGCAAGTTCAGGTTGGATATTAGGAAGAAATTCTTAACACAAAGAGTGATCAGATATTCGCATGGGCTGCCTGGGGAGGTGGCAGAGTCCCGGTCCCTGGAGGTGTTTAAGGACAGACTGGATGTGGCACCCAGGGCCGTGGGCTGGCTGACAGGTGCTCAGTCACAGGTTGGCCTCAAACACCTCGGAGGCCTTTTCCGACCCAGTGGATTCTGGAAACGTCTCACAGACGTTCCCAGACGTGGGAAAGCGGGACACCCGCAGCCCCGAGAGGAAAGTGACAGCGGACAGCCCCAGAGCCTGCGCCCCCCGCTCACCTGGCAGGTACTCCGCCTCGAAACGCCGCCGGGTCTCGCTTATCAGCGCGCCCTTATCCTGCCGCTGCTGAAAGGAAACATGGAACAAGAGGGCCGTGAAAGGAAGGGGAAGGCCGGGGCCCCAGACAGCCCCAGACCCTCACCTGTACGGCAGGGCCCGGCCACCCGCCCCGCCGGACCACAAACCCGAGTGGCTGCGGACGGCGGCTGGAACAGCCGTCAGGCAGGCAGGAGGGCAGCAGTGAGGGGGCAGGCGCGCAGGGACTCACCTCAGCCATGATACAGCGGGTCCGCCCGCGCCGCCCGCACTGAGGCAGCTCCGGCAGCGCGAGGAGCGGCGGGAAAAGGGGATGGAGCGGGGCCCGGGGGGCGGGGCCTCAGGGAGAGCCGTGCCCTGCAGGCCCCGCCCCCAGCCATGGCTCCGCCCCCAGCCACGCTCCCGTCATGCTCCCCGCGGCGGGAGCTTCGGAGTCGCCCCGCCGGCCGGGAACCGTGGCCCCGGTGGGAGCGGCACGGCTCTGCTGGGAACGGCACGGCCTCCAGGGACCCCGGTCAGAGTGGCTCCGCCGGCGCGGAGCCGCGGTCGCTGCCCCTGTCTGTACCCGTTCTCTGTGCGGGAGTGAGCGGTATCGCGGCCTGAGCGGTCGCTGCGGGTCCTGCAGGTTGAGTGGAGCTCGGTGAGACGGCTGCGGTTCCCTCGGGGTGCCCGGGGCCTTCTCGGGGCGAGGAGGGAGGGAGGGAGGCTGTTTGGCCGCAAAATGTCTGGATGATTCTTCAGAAAACTTTCTCCTTCGAGGCCTTATAATTTTACCAAAAAATAAATTATAGCTATTAACAAGCACTACGCCTGAGAGAAGGTTCTTTAATTTCAGAACTCAAAGCACAGTTGCTTTCTAGTCTGCTCAGTATATTTGTGGCTTCTTCAATACAATCACATGAATTGTCAGGGTGTGGCTTGGTTTCTGTCAATTTATATTACACAGTGCAGCTGTTGATTACCGCAGATTTCATACTTGGGTAAAGAAACATTTCTGAAATATTTCTGTTAGTTAAATCTCTCAGTACAAAATTATTTAACTTCATTATTAATCTGTGAGATTAAAGCACATTAAAGCTTCATTCTCAAATTTTTCTGTGTTTTTGCTTTGCAACACATAGTTATTCTTAAGGCTCAGTTCAGCTCATTCCAAAACAATTTAATGGGTTTTTTTCTTATTTGTTTTTTGTAGGTGGAAAATGTCCAGAAAGTTAAAATTTTCACACAGAAATAAGCCTGATGGAAATAGGGACACATAATTTTCTTGTAGAGGGATATACATCAAGATAAATCAACATGCTTCTGGGTGAGCAAGATCAATTCTTGTCCTACAATGGTGAAATCCTTGTATTTCAGTTGTCAAAACCAAAGCATGCAGAGGAAGCAGATGATAAAACAATGAATTTAAGTGTCAGAAGGATGGTGTTCAACAGAGACACTAAGCTGTTTGTTCAGAAGTCTTCTGGAGCATTCAGCGTGGAAGCCAGTCACTCAAAAATTGAAATGCTTTCTTGTAGCTGCACAACAGATTCCAGAACAGGGATTATTCTTCCCTGCGTTTTGATGAAGAAGAAAAAACGGAACAGTATCAAATACTTTTTATTGTTGCTTCACAGTTCTAACCAATTTGAGCCATCCTTTTATTTTAAATTGGACTATGAGCTGAAAGAAGACATCAGGTTGTTTGCTGGCCCATCACTGCTGTGGAGACATGACCACAAGCTGTTCTACATCTCTTCCAACACCTGTGTGGTTCAAAGTGCCCCGGTTCATCTTTCTTGTGTGGTGTGGACAGGTGAAATTGTGGGTGAAGGCACTGTTGTCTTAGGGATAAGAACTGCTTGCCTGCCAGAGACTGAAGACCCAGATGGGTTTTCTGTTTCAGACAGAGCCATCTGGGGCAGTGAGTTCTTTGGGTATGCCATTCAATCTCAGAAGTTTCTGAGTGGCACGTGCTTCATGCCTCATGCCTACAGCAGAGTGGTGTCTTCTGTCCATGTCTGCAGGAGTGAGAGACTGAGGAAACAGCTCCGAATATCACTTGTTGCCATAACCCACAAGAACCAGCTTGTTTGGTTCCAAAATGGTGCCCCTAAAGGTGTTTGTGACCTTCCTTACGAACAGCCACGTTCAGTAACACCAGCTCTAACCAGCAGCAGAGATTTGCTGTTTGCTGTGTCTTTTGCCTCTGGAAATAGCTGTGCTGTACAGAGGAGAGACAGCTTACAGGTACCGTTGGCTTTAAACAGCTCCATTTTACTGCAGTCTTTTTTGTATATATTGTCTTATTGAAAGTCCTGCAACTAAAAACCTGCATGTTCAAGTTCTTTAGATTTCTCATTTGTTTATTATTGTTGCTGCTGGCAAAATAACCTGTCTAAAGTATGACATTGTTTTGCTTCCATTGCTTGCTTATATATCTGATAATGAAGCTTGCATTTTCTCATTTAGTAATATATTTATGAATCTGACCAAAGCTTCTGTTGCTAATGGAAAACTGCAGTAGTGTGAAAACTTGAAGTTGATAGGCAGTTGTGAGTGTGCCTGGATGATTTGTCTTAGAAGCAACCTCATATCTTTGCCAAGTATAAACTGCTTATTGGAACAGCAAAGCTTTTTGAGGCCTAATTCCTAATAACAAAATGTTGTTTCTAGAAAATGTTGTTTTATGAAAATGACAGGAAAAGGCCTTGCTATTGTTTCTTAAAATAAGGGGACAAATTTCTGCTACAGTTTTTTGCTAGTCTGACAGCAAGACTTTTTATAAGTCAGGAAATAAAAATTTGTACCATTTATTTGCTGGCACTATTATAAAAATTTCTCTTTCACTTTCAAACATAGCCTGTTGTGAAACAAAGATATTTCTCAATATCAAAGGTACAATGTCTTTAACTGATCTTCAGGTATTACTGCTTCTAAGTAAATGTTACAACATTCAGCTGTTCAGCTGTTTGAATACACTGAAAAGTTGTCATCTTCTCTGCAGCCTGTAATCTGGAAAGTGATCTTTAAAGAGAAATGGCTCATTTTTCTCAGAGTTACATAGGCTCTAAATGATGGGGTGAGAGTGAGAGCATGAAACTTCTAAATATTATTGTATTTTACACCACTGAATAGGCTCTCTCTCGATGGAAAGCAAGCTTCACCAAAATGAGATCTCAAATACAAGATTTATTCTAATAAATGTGTTTTAAAACCTCTTCTACTGTAGGTGGCTTCCAAATGGCAAAAAGTGAAGTGTGTTCTGGTGGATGATTTTATTGGCTCTGGAAGTGAGCAGCTGTTACTGCTTTTTAAGGATGACTCCAATACTGATGTGTTAAGTACATTCAAAATAACAGATCTTGGGGAGGTCGACTATGCAGTAAGTTGAGCTTGCCTTTTCTCAGCTACTCAGTCTGTGCTTACTAAATTAAAAAAATCTCAACAAATCATTAAAGTATTGATGCAAAGTGAAATTGGATGTGTGCTGTGAAATGCCCTGAAGTTTGAATACAATATTCCCTGCTGTAATCTTAAATTATCTGAAGATGTTATTTTGCTTCTCTGATTGTATCAACATTCTGTTGGGAAATTAATGCAGCTGAAAATGCTTTACATACATAATAGTTTTGCCAAAATGGTTACCTTTTGGCTAAGAACCCTTAATTTAATTAAAGCCATAGTGCTTGTTAATTATCTTCTCGTAATTGGGTCTTTCCATATGTACTATCAAATTCTAATTGCTTTCAGAAAATAGGGTTTTGCTTTTAAAAGACATAGCGTGATTCTCCTGGCTTTCTGTATTTTCTCCCAGATTTTTATAATGCTGTGTAATAGCCTGTACCTTACTTTCAGCTTTTTAATTCATTCAGGGTTTTGATTTTGTTTTTTCCCTCTTTCAGAGTAGTATCACTTATAAACATGATGTTCCTGCTGCAGAAGGATTGCAAGAGAATGGTTTGCTTACTGTCCGAGCCCTTGAAACAAGATTACAGGTTTGTACTCAACAGTGCTGCCTCCATGTTTTCTGTAAATTACTGTTCTGTATCATTGCATTATCTAGAGGGTGAGGCTAATGATACTGTTATTATTGAAGAAGTGGTTCAGGGAAAAGGTCAACATGGTTAAGTATTTATTCTTGAATCAGTACTAATCTGTGTTTCTGGTCTCTCAGTTGTTATGAGTGCATTTAGGTAGTTGTAGTGGTCGAACTTAATTTTAATTAAAAGTTTGAGATAGTGCTGAAGCTGTCTTATCAGAGCTCCTTAGCAGTCATTTTACTCATGTTGAAGTACCAGCTTTAAAAAATTGGAAGGTTTGCTTCTTTTGCTCCCCATTACATACAGAACTTTCAGGTCCCATAGTGGCAGGTTCCCAGTGAGAGAGTTTGCACAATTGGTGACAGTGGTTATTTCACCACCTCTCATGTTCCTGGTCCTGTTACTAGTGGTTTTATAAAGATAGTTTTGAAGTGTACTATAGATAAAGCTAAAATGTATCCTTCTTTTAACTAGAATAATTTATTAAACAAACTGGGGGAAACTTGGGAGTTTCCCACCCAACATACTTGAGGTCCCTTCCAATCCTACTTTTTTACAGCTTGCATATTAGAGGCCTATTGGCTTTAACAGAAGTGCAGGGGTCCTTCCAAATGCATCATTTTCTGTTTCTGCATTTTTTTTCTTTTTTGGCAGTCATATTTTAAAACTGACTTCAGTGCTGCATTCTTGCCCTACTCATTCATTACATTACTTTCCTCTTCTGCAAAGCAGCAAGTAGTTTGTTTCTTATTGGCTGCTCCTTCCATGAATCTCATGACCTTGTCCACCCTGCCATTGACAGCTGTATGTTCTATGTTCCATAACTTTGTTCTTTCAATACTCCAACTGGCTCCAGCTGTACAGCTCTGTGAATCTGTGTCAGGATGAAATGAATTATCTGGTTTGCACTTGCGACTGGTTCTGCTGGAAACAAGCCACTGGTTGGATATTTTATCTATTGTGTGCTGGTATAGTTCTTACAGACACGAATCATTTCCAAGACCTAACATTTCTGTGCTTTTAGGTCTTTTTAATCTCTAATTTTCAAAGCCATGTGCTAGCACAAGCATTGTAAGCAGTTGGAAATTTACTGTGTTTTATTGCTGTAAATTTTTGAAGTTGTCAAGCTTATGAATTTGGAAATAGGTGCAGATATTTCTTTTTAACCTCACTGTTGCTAACTTGTTGAAATCCCTATTGTTCTGTATTATGTTTGCTGAACAGTGAAGTACTCTTGCTGGTTTTTATAATCTGACATATAATTGAATTTCAAGGATGCTTGTTTTGAAGCAGTACTGCATGGGTTCTGCTTAGCTTGGGAATTTTCAAAGGTTATTTAGGCTTGAAGTGATGCCTCTTGATATTTATCATCAAAATTCAGGTGTTCTAGAAATTTGCAATCAAATCGAGTTTTCACAGTCTCCATGGAATCTTGTGTTTTAGAGCAAGATAAAATAGCAGATGCAGCCCTTTTGCATCCTTGTTGCTTAACCCTTGTTTTACATCTGCACAGCTGTTTTCTTAACCACGTGAGAACTTTGGCAGGAATAAATTATAGTCCACTGGATAAGTAAGTTGTATTGAAGTTATACCTAGTAATATATATAACTGCATTTTGCAGGCAGTGAAGTTTAAAAGTAGATCAGCTTGAGCAATTTTGAATTGTTCTATGTTTATTTTATATCCACTATTTTGGGCCTGAATCCAGCCTTTTCTCCTTTGATTTTTTTTTTTACTTGTGTTTTGGTATCTTCTGAAGAAGACATTCTTTGGCTAAGTACTGCAGTTCCATTGCAACAGCTGAGGTTACAGGGTTTCTTGTGGTTTTAGTTGATTGTTTTGGCAGAAATAAAGAAGGGTCTTTATGTCCACTGGTCTGTTCTTCCCCCCATTACTTGGCAGTTTTGTAAGGACTATTAATTCTGGATTTACTCACAGCTCTATTGTCTTTGGCTCTGGACTGCCTTGTTTTTATGTTCTTGTTTATTTTCTCTTCTAAGGTGATCTACTTTTATTTTCTTGGTTTCACAGCACAAAACTTGTAACTCCTGCTGGTGCTTGTAGTGCACTGCATCTTGGCATGCAGCAGGAAGGATGTGCCTGTCACTTGTGACAGAGGGGGACACAACTCAGTCCTGGGTTTGTTATGTGGTGGAATTCAGGTCTTTTTCTTGTGCTCTAGGAGGAAAAAGGGCTTGCAAAAGCCAGATTAGCGAGGATACAAAGTGAAGGTTTGGCCATTTTGACTGCTTCCACATCTGTGCTTCCCCATTTGCTTTCTGGTTCTCAATTGTTTATTCAGGAATTGGCTCCAATGAGAGTGAATGATGGTTTAGTGTTCTGATGACCTAAATTAGGGAAGTATCATCTTTATTTTCATCTCTTGAGTCAAGTCTGGCCCTGGATTATTGCTTGGAATCTGGTGCTTAGATTCACACTTAGATAGGTGACAACTTTTTTGCACAAGTTTTCATGACTGCTGTTGGTCTAAATGTCCTTTGCCAGTGCAGCATGAGCAGAGGACATCACTTTACTTATAAGATCTGCTTTTTTATTTGGGCTTATAATGGATTTATGTGTGTTATGTGTTTGGGGGGGCGTTTCTGAGGGGATGAGTGAAGAGGGAAGTTTGGTTTTGTATTCCAGAGTTCAGTTCTCTCCTTGACAGCATTGGACTTCTCAGAATGTTCCTTTGCAGATAATAGCTTTTGAGGAGCTTTCTTAAAACCTGAGAAGCTGGCATGATGTTCTTTCTTTATTGCTTGGTTTGTGGGTTTTTTTGTTGGTTTGCCTTGGTTAGTTTTTTGGGGGATTTTTTCATTGTGTTTCATTTAACAGAGACACAGCCAACTGTGTCTGCTTGTATATCTGTCAATTCTTCAAAATATTTACTTGACCAATAATCAATATAAATCTTGAGAAGAAGATGAAACTGCTCTCCAAGAAAAAGTGAAGCAGGATTAATAATGAAAGATATCACTCAGAAATATATCTATGGAAATATATCTGAATATCTATGTAATTTGATTAAGTTTACCTTAATATTTATCTTTAACTCTAGGTTTAATATTGAAAGACCAAGATTCTGAGACTCATATTTTAACAACAGAGTAGCATGACTTGAACATTTTTTAGAAATGCTGTTTGTGATTCTTGCATAAGAATGGAAAGGTCAAAAGATATTTTGACAGCTTTAATATCTTTTCTTATATGCAGTAGTCTAATGATTATCTTTTACAGGCTGGTTGGACTTCTGTTCGAGAGCTGCAGCAGCATTTAGCACTCCAGAAGAGGGTTATTCTTGAGTCTTGCAGAGCATTAATAGATCTTGTTGAAGAAAGACCCCATATTCTACCAAACTCAAAAGAGGTAAAATGCGGGAGATGGGCCAGATCAGTTCTGAATTCTGCCAAGCCATTTGTAAAGGGTGCTGCTATCAACCACTTATCCCTTTTGCCTGTAGGGGTTGCCACTATCAAAACTCATTAATCTGCTATTTAAGTCTGGTTCATTTTCTTAACTTGCCAATATATGTAGTTAGGAATAAATTTTGTTGTTTCTACTTGAAATTGATGTGCACAATATCTCCTGACAACTGAGTGGTATGGAGGAGTAACCTCTTACAGAGTTAGTGACAAACAGGAGGGGAGTGTACAGTTCTAATTGCCACAGTTGCCTAGATATTGACTATCTGTCTGAAATCTCACATGTTAAAAAAGGGAGTTGTCATAGAACTATGTGAGCAAAATTGATTTTATAATGGGGGCAGAGTGAACTGTGGGCTGAGAAGGTGATGGAGGTTGGGAAAATCTTATTTTAATATGTTGCTCAAAAGAAACCTCATTTAATTGAAATGAAGTTGATCTCTTTCAGTTACTGTTGTGGCATCTTTCAGGTTTTCTGGGTTTGCACAGAGTATTGTGCAATTAAATGCAATAATATAAATTCTAGCACCTTATATCTTTGGACAATTAATTGTATGACAGGTTAAGATTTTGACATATGATGTTTACAAGGAGAGAATAAGGTGTACTTTACATGATGATATGTTGTGTTTTAAGAAAATTCCATTCTATTTATTGTAGAAAATAAACTAGTTTATATATTTGTTTCATTTTTTGTATCTTAAAAACTCTTCCAGCAGTCACTTGTGGTAAAACACAAAGTAATGCAGTATAAAAATACCCAAAATCTCTGCCTAATTTATCTGAAACCCCACATTTTTCTGTAAGGAAGGCCTTGTCTCTCTCTGGGATGATGAAGAAAATCTTCCTGATTCTCTTAGTAAAGAGACACCATCAGCATCTGAAGTCCCAGAGCACTTCACAGAGGAATTGTGGCAGCGTGTTGTGGGAGACAGCCTGGTTGTTGGAGTAAAACTAACTGAATCATTTTATTTGTGAGTATATACACTTATCCCATCATTTCACTGGTAGTTTTATAGAAAATGAATATGTTGGTTAGCTCTGCAGTAAATTTGAACTTTCTAATTTTGAACATGTGCAAATAAAGTGTTTCAAATGTGTCTTTGTCAGTATTTTTGCTACTGGTCGCTTGCGCTCTAGCACTATGCAGAAAAATACATTATACAGCCAGAAATCAGTTGTGTGAGTATAATTGCAACATTACTGGAGATTTTTTACAAAAGAGTCTTCTTTGACAAAAATTATGGCTCTTTGTAGTCCATGTTGACATAGCAATGCTGACATCAGTATGTGCTGTAAATAAAGGTCTGTCTTAGCTTAACTTGGTTCCTGAAGCTTTACTGTTAGCTACTTGCCATTCCTAATTGATTTGCTTCAAGAAGCACAAAAGAAAATATATTAAATTCTCTTACCAACTAATTAGTACTTAGCTTTTGAATTGAACTCTTCTAGTCAAGTACCTAATCAAAATGCTTGCACAGCTTGTATTTTGTGTAATTTATGTGGAACAATCAGCCATACAATACTTAAACCTTCAAAATAATTTGGTTGGGTTTTTTAATTATCTTTAAAATTATTTGTTTATTCTATTTATTTTAATTACTCAGTTCTAGTTGTAAATACTACTTGTGTCATTTTCCCTTACAGAGAGGGAACTAAGTTGAAACAGTGTGAAAAAAGAGGATTACGTAAAATATAAAATTACAACGTGAATTGTGTAATGTAAACTTTGGTGGAGTCAGAAGTTCTCTTTTGTCCCATGTTGCCACAGGCAGTGTAGCTGAGGCTGTGTTGGGCTGAGCTCAAAGGCTGCTGATGCCACTGAAAATCATTCAGGTGGCTGTGAGGGAGCTGACCTGTTGGGCCCTCTGGCCATTCTGCTGGAGCTGTGGCTGGATTCTTCATCAGCTGCCAGGTTGCTGTAACTTTACAAGAAAGTTAACCTCATCCTCTTGACAGCCTCTCTTAAGAGCCACTGAGGCAAAGATTGTTTTTTGCTTTTTTGGTGTTTTTTCTTTTAGCTTTGACGATGCCTTTGCTTTTTTTTTTTTTTTTTTAAGTGAAATGCTTTATTCCTTTATAACTTCAGAAATCTTCAGCAGCAGTCTAGCCCTCTCCCCCATTTTTACAGTTGAAAAAAGATCTGTGGAGAAGCCATTTGTCCAAGATTACCTGACAGGCCAGCAGCAGAACCTGGGTCTTCTGAGCTCCAGTTCAGGTTGTGTACAACAACCTGTGTTTGTGGGGAAAAGGACTTGCTTTATCTCCAGCCCCAACGCTGTAATTCTTTATTGATTATTTTTGTGCTTCCTACTAATGCAAGATTGCAGTGATACCATAGATTGATTTATGAGGTGGTGATACTTCTCTGTAAAGAAAATTAGACATTCATAAGACTTTCAAATGTCACTGACATCTTGAGATTGAATTGATTGACAGAATAATATATTCATTGAGAGAGGATCTGGAACAGTAATATTAGGATTTCATTGAAAGAGCCCTGTGTTGAATAAATAAAGTGCTTCATACATTTCAGGAAGTTGCTGCATGTTCAAGGTAATAGTATCTTAAGCCTTTAATTTTACTCTACATTCAATTTTGTTTGAATATCTATAAAAATGTAGAGTGTCAGAAGAGCTTCTAGTCCTCAAAAGGGCAGAATTGATATTTTCTGCAGTTTTTTCTTAAAAAGAAAGTAAAATCTTTAAAAAAAATCCATAAATGTCATAGAGTATCTTTATAGGTTATGTAGACTTTTCAGCTTTTTTGACTGAATTAAACATCCAAATTCTTTTGGTTGAAATGAGGTGTCTGACTTCTAGAAGCTCTTCAAAAACTCAGTCCACATTTTGAAAAATCTTTATACTTGGTTGATATGAAACAGTCATGTGAAGGACTTAGCCTCTCTGCAAAGTCTATGACTTAATCTGGAATAGTATTGGAATTTATGTCTGTATTAAGTCTGCAGAGTTGTGGTTATTTGTCAGAAGGCAAAAATGTGAACTGGGAGTGCAGTCATATTGTATGGATTTTCACAGGTCACTGAGTGATGTCAGTTTATCTCTAGTGATGGATCAAGACTTCTCTTCGATTTCTCCAATTATCAAGTGTCAAAGTAAAATCATTAAGCTGAACAAAGCCTTCTCAGCATTGGCAGTCTCCCCAGGTCAAATTGAACCTCCTCCAAAAAAGATGAAATTGGACTTGCATGGCAAGAATGATCTGAGAAAAGAATTTCCTAAGAGATCTTCAAGGATTCAGCTGGATGGAGCAAGGACAGTCGCTGCTGTCACCAGCCTTTCACCACTACTGGCATTTCATCGTGTGTGCTGTGTGGTTCTTCTGCATGCCAGGAAGCAAAACCATCAGAATGATGATTTACAGCACAGCAAAAAGATTACTGTACTCTGTGGGAAAATTTTGTTAAGTCTGGAAGATATTTCAAATGGCAGATATTCAATAAAAATGCTCAGGGATAATAGTTACTGTACAGGTAAATGGATTTATATACTTGGGATTTACAAATATATATATTTAATTCTTCTGTATATTCTAGGTGGCACCCAGCTAAGTTTCTCTCTGAACACAAGCTGCACGCAGACTTTTTGGGAATTAAAGCTGGGTGAAATAGGAGATGGAACATTTTTCAAATTGGAAAAAATGTTTAGTGAGTTGCTGTAAGGTTTTGCTAGCATTGGTGATGAAGGGTATCTGGAAAGGATAATTTTGAAGATAAGTTTGAGTACAGAATGCTGAAACCTATGTTTTTTCTATAAATAAGATACTGTAATTAGATACAGAAGTTTTTTTCTGACATTCTACTACCTCTTAAATAATACCAAAGTAATTGAAGCTCTTCCTCATCTACACATATATTAGGGTAATTTATTTTCATTTCTTTCAATATTCCTGATTGAATTGATTTTGAACTGGGCTTTTGCTCAGGTAATGAAATATCTTTTTTATTGTTTGCAATGAATTTTAATTTTTCTTCCTTTAATGCTGAGTCACTTTACTATCACAGGCTATTAATAGTCTTCTTTTGGCAAGGTGATGTTTATCTTAAGAGCTTTCATTATACTGGTGGTGCTCCATTAATCAACTGTTTTGCTTGACAGAAGTAGGGATAAGAATTTAGGTGAGGAGAAAATTCCCAAAGAATGCCTAAAGTCAGGTGCAAATCCTTCACAAAAAACCTGGGAATATGAACCAAAAATCAAAGTTCATTTAATGCATGCAGCATGATCAAAATATTTAGTTCAAATACCTCTTTCTGCTGTATTTTCTTGCAGGTTCCATGGAAGATATACTTGCTGTCCTTGCAGTGTCTGTCAGATTCTCCTTTCAGATTGTGTCTTGTGACTGCACACTGACTCCAGTCAGTTCATGGTTACTGGGAGAAATGGAGTGCACACCATTTAAGGAATGCCAGGACAACATATTCTGTCATAAAGCAGGAAATGTCCATGGTACAATTTTTAATTGGGCCCTGAATAATCCATTTGAAGGAGTTCTAACAATATTTTGCAGGTAAAATCACTTGAAGAGCATAGCTTATATTCATCTTCCAGACACCCTTTTTTATCTTTGTGCTGTTTCTTGCTGGTACCATAAACAGCAGCCAAAATCATATCCAGTAGGCTGCCAATATGATGATATGGTAACAGTCACCAATAACAGACCTGTTTTCAGATCAGAACTATGGCAGAACCTGAACTGACTTGTTTCATTTTGTTATGCTGGAACACTGAATTACAAATAAATCTAGTCTCCATTAATACCTGCTTGGTACTATTCCTTCTCCTCATTTTGCTGCATCATAATTTTATATTCTTTTTTTTCTTACATTATTCTTACTATAATGTGTAATTTTAAATTTTTTCTCAAAATGTGTTAATTAAAAAAAACCCCTTCAATATTAAATATTTATGTATTAATATTAAAACAGAAAACAACCAAACCACAAACCTCAAGTTAAATTAAGTTTAAATTTATTGCTAGGTCATTTTTTAGTTTAGTATTGCAATATAAGTGTATTCTCATTTTGTACATGTTTCTGCTATAGTCATTTCCTATCTACCATGATTATGAATAGGAAATAATCTGAAGAGTCTGACTGGTGTTCTTTCTTGTGCAGATTCTTGGACAGATATTTCCTGAGCCAGGTTAGGCAAGTTAGTAATGCTGCCACAATTTATGACTTAGCTGATTAAGGCTTATAACATAAACAGTACTTCTGGGATATTTGTCAGTACTTCTGGGATATTTGTCAGTACTTCTGACAAATGTTGCTGTTTAGAAGAGTTCAAGCTCTAAAATAAAAAAGAAAAGGTGTAACTGGTAACAGTGTGTTTTGTAATGGGGTTCAGTCTTTTCCTCAAATTAGGAGTTGATGTCCTCTATGAAATGTTTAAGCAATCAGTAAAATTTTAACTCTTAAGACTTTGCTTCCTTTTGAAAGGTGATTTTACTTGCTATTCACTTTGACTGTTCACCATTCACTTTTGATCCCATTTTGTTAATTACTGAGCCCCATGTTTATGGGCTGTGATTGCATTTTCTGTATCTTTTATTCCTGTATTTGGATTGATCTTTTACCTGCCTAGGATGTTTCTGTGATAGGTGGAAACTACAGAGTATACTTTTTTTTGACACCATCATAATTTTGTTTTACAGAAATCTGACTGTCTTGTTCCAGTGCCTTCACAGCCTCACTAGAGTTCTCCCTCCAAGCTGCAGTGTAAAACTCCTGAGATCTGGAAGCAAAGCAGTACTTACTGAACAGTTAGCACTGGCTCTGGAAAAGGAAGTGCTTACCTTGAAGAATTCTCTTTTCTTAAAAGAAACTAAAGCTGGAAACAGTTTGACATGGGGGGATGAGTCTGGCAAGAAAAACAATAATGCTCCTCTGGCTTCTTTACTGGACACTGAGGAAGGAGTCCAGCAATTCAGAAAGAAACTTCAGAAGGAGAGGGAAGAGAGTGTGCAAAGTATGAACCAAACACTGAATGGTGCCCTGTACCAGAAAACTGCTTTGAAAATAGCAGAAGCTCAGCTCAGTTCAGATATGATTGTGTGGAGACTGGCCAAGTCCTAGAAACTATTGACTAAATTTATTTTGACAAAAAATTTATTGAAGTTATACCATTAAATAATATTTATATTTTCATGGGTACTTATACTGCTTTGTATTCTATAGCATTTCTGTGTTGTTTCTACAGATAAATACTGGTATTTTAATTGATGACTATTGGAAGAATGTAATATTAAGACTGACTCATTGTTTTGTTAAAGATTTTGAAAATATATTTTTAAGATATTTTCTAATAATTCCTACTCCAAAGTCGTAATTCTTGAACTATAAAGCAACTATTTTAGAAAAAAAAAGAATGTGTGTGTTCTCTTTAAAATAGTTCAACAGAACTTGAAAGATGACTGTTTATACATGTCAAATGTAAGCCCATTTTAGAAATCTTAAAGCAGGTATAGAAAGGATTTAAGTTATACAACCAAATGTAATTCATAATTTGAGTATTGAGTTTATGATCAAATTCAAAGAAGAGCTTTTATCTTCACATGTCAAGCCTTTTAAATAACTTTTAGTGGGACCACTTGAGGAGCAAAACTCTGTACCTTTGAGCCTTGTGTTCTGGAGTCCAGCCTCAGATTTATAGAGTATTTATTGGAGGTGGGGAACCAGATCAGACCTCTTAACCAAATTTCAAGAATCATGAAGATTCATTACATGATAAAGCTTCAGGTTTGAGAGGTCCATTCCCACACACTTTAGTGGTAGGCCTTGTCTCACTGGTAAATCCTGGCCTTCCTTGGATGTTAACCCAGCTTCAGAGTCAGGAGATTGGCTTGCTCAACCCCAGAGTCAGATGATTGTCTGCTGATGCTAGCTGCTCAGTGGTTTTGGCTTATCTCAAGTACTTCAAATAATATTGGGCAACTCTGTTATTATTCCTCCTTTTGCTGGCTTGAGAAATATCCTGCTTATGCTTCTAGGAAGAGAATGGCCTGTACTACTTACTGAGATAGTAATTTCTAATCAAATTTTTCCCACTAGCTTCTTGAGGGGCAGAGAGGTTAGAAAATCCCAAATCACAGTAATTTGCTTCCTTTTATCTCTGCTTTATGTAAGTAAAACATTCTTATTGCTTGTCACATTTTTCTGAAGTTGTCAGATTTTTACTTTTCATTTTCTCTGCAAACAGAGTTAATAGGTGACATCTCCAGCATGATCTCTCTCTGACAATAAAAGTCTGGTAGGAAAAGTGGAAGATATTTATTAACTCAAAGGTATACTGATGTTTCAGAATAATTCTTTTTGTCTCATCAGAAAGTTTAGCTTCTGTATGTATGTCCTCTAGAAGCATTAAGTGGTGATGTTTTTCAGTCCAAGGCATCTTCTCATTCTGGCAACAGGAGTAAACTGGTGCACATTAAATGCAAACATTGCCTAGAAAAACAGTAATAGAGAGCTGTACTCTGTAACCTTAACCCGCTTTAGTGATATAGCTTCCTTTTTGAGACACTCAAAGTATTAAATTACTCCTTTTTAGCTATAGAAAAAGGAAATCTTCCATTAAGATGTCAACAATGTCTTAAGAAATTGTCATGGGTATTTGGACCTCAGTATTTACTGGATGAGAAAGTTGAGGGTTTTTTACAATTCTTTCTTTGTTAAGCCACAGTCAGGCAATAGTCAAAGCTTAAGAACCCATTGTCAGGGCTTGGCAGTCAGTTGTCACTGAAATTTCCAGAAGTTCCTGATTATAAACACTTAAATGAAGCAAAAAATCTCAAGGTGCACTCCTGTAGCTTGCACCTAAGGTCAGGACCTTGCTAAGCCATGTGAGCAGAAACCTTCAGAGCAAGAAAGCTCCTGTTCAGCCCAGGGCACTTGAAGGAGGTTTGGCAAAGCAGAGTAAACAGTCCAGCAGTTGATTTTTGTCAGCACATAGCAGCCTGCTCTCATAACTAACTATTGTTGGTCTGTCTTTAAAGAGAAACTTCCATTTGTGTTCACATCTCTTTGTTGAATAAACAGAGTGGGACAAATGAGCAAAAGCTGCTAAACACAAATGTTGGCTGTTTCTAATTCCATGGAGTTGTTACTTTAAAGAGCCAAACAGTGAAATCACAGCAGTGTAGAAGTGAAATTATTAGAGTAGAATAGTAACAACATGTTCTTACTAAAGAGACTTTCCTGAGGCACGAATGCTTATTTTGTAAATCATCAGATGAGGTCATGAAACACTTTCCTAACAGCTCTAGGATTCCTGGGAGCAGTTCTTCAACTGTCTAGTAATGCATAATAGCATGGTACAACTTTCAGTGGTAGTGATGCAGTGTACTGCATATGTGCTTTACTTTTATGTGCCAAAATCTAAAGGTCTCCTGGAAACACTTGAAAGGTTTCTGCTGATATGTGTGGGTTTTGGCCAGGGATAAGGTAAAAATGGAGCAGACATTAACAAAGATTCAGGCTCTCTAGAATCTTATCTTCAAGTGGCAGCGGCAGACATTTTGTTTAGAGGTATTTGCTTTCCTAAACTTACCTTTCAGAGGTAAAAGCAACTAAAGGTGTTAACCTACTTATTTGATCTCTCGTGATGATTAATGTCTGTACATGCTGGTGTTCAAATGAACTAGATGGTGTTCAATTAACTAGTTCAAATGGACTAGAAAAATGGTTAAGTTGGCTAAGCATGCTTCTGTCATGAGCTGTTGGAGTCCCATTTTCTGGGCCTCAAAGAAAGTCTTGGAAGTGAGATCTTGCATAAAGTGGGTTTTGCAAGTACTTTTCTGAACAAGTCTTTTGAGAAATTAAATCAGTGGCAGCAGCACTCCTAGTTATGGAGGAATTAGTACTGCCAAGAAATAACTGATAAAATAATTGGATGTTTGATTCTGTAAACAAATTCTCCTTTCCATGATAGTAGATCAAATTGGGAAACATACACATCCCAAGGGACAGAAGGCTTTTCACTGCTGAAGCTGCTACTACTTCAGTAACTACTAGGAGTAGTAACTACTAGCAGATAACTATTCACACCACACATTCACTGTCTAGCACTGATGACTCCTCCGCAGGAGTGTTACACTGCGAGGTCAATCCCCACCCTGGGACCTCTGGCTCCTCGGTAAGTGACAAAGTCCTTTCAAGAGCTCTTTGCTTCATCAGGTGTGGATGTGTAATCCTGTAGGGTTTTTGTTTGCACGTAGCAACCACTACCTGTTTGTGCATGATCCAAGTTAATGCAAACCATGGTGGATACTCATGTGCAGTGGCTTTGTACACAGCCAGCAGGCTTCTGGTGTTCTGAATTTATCAGTTCTGGTGGATTTAACAGAACAACTAGTCTCCAGAGCTTACCAGTCCTGGGAGACTTTCACATGCTGCTTCTCAGCATGTAATAATCTCCTCAGCCTGCTGCTTGCTGGTAAACATTCCTCCCTCCTGAGCTGGAGAACCCTGTCACATAAGCCCACACAAAGGGACCTTTGATAAGCAGTAAAATTGTGCCCAGAATCAACTTGTCTTGACTCCAGTAGGCCTGATTTCTGGAAACCAGCAGATGTCAGTGGTGTCTGACAGGTATCTGTAGGAATGGTCCCAATCTTCTGGCCATGGCAGTGTTCTGTGTGCAGATATTTAATTAGCAATCACTCTTTTATCATGTTTCAAAAGACAGATATGCAAAAAGGAAGTCTGACGTAGGAAGTATGAGCTGTCATGCCTGGATGCACTCTTACAACGTTAGCACTTTTAAAGTCAATATTAAGACCCTAAGAGGGATTGTGTGTCAAATATCTCTGTTTTTTCTGGCCAAAGGGGTGTAATAAATAGATTAATTTACAGTATTTTTTCTTTGTCATTCTAAGGCTTCTCAGGGAAAAGAAACCTGTCTGCTCTGGAGTGGTTTCTGTTGGACAGTAATATTTCCTTTTTAACTTTGTGTGTGTATGTATTCCAAATCAGCCACAGGCTGCCCACTTTTTCATAGTAATAGAAGTTAGGCCTTCTCTCTCAGCTGCTAATTTTTGTTTTCCCACATCTTTTCACAATTTGGGAACTGTGACAATCATATGACTGCTCTCTTCTGAATCATACTGACTCTGCTGACAAAATAATAATGGTAGAATGTTTATCCCTGAGCGAGTTATTCATTACAGGCTATTAACAAAGATGATAGGCTCAGCAAAAGGAGTATTCAAACAGTGGTAGTTTCTTCTCCTCCCTTCTCTACTGCCCTGGGAGAAATGAAGTTTTAAACAGTGGAAAGAAAAATCAATGCCAGGATTTAAAATGCCATGTCTCTTTTTTTTGAGTTTTGGTTGTGGTTTTTTTCAGTATTTTCTTTTCTGCACTCTAGGCATGCCATTGAGTAAGAACAAGGTGAACATCAACATGCAGCAGGAGTTTCTAGCCAAGAAAATCCTCCCAGGGAAAAAGCAGAAGAGGAGGAGGTTTGACGCTGCTGTTTAGTCATGGTAATTATTGCTTTAAGGAGGTGATACTACTTAGGTCTTTTCTGTGACCTCATACTTGTGGTATTTAAAAAATTTATCCCATGAATATATTGAGAAATTAATAATTCAGAGGTGTATGTTTGTAAAGCATTTGGTTAGAGCCAAGGCTGCCCAGCATCAGGTTTGTATCAGTCCGGTTCCTGCCTCGAGTTCTGCATTCACAGAACCCTGGTGCTTAACTCTGGTATTTAGATCAGAGGGACGGGTTGGTGAAGCAGTCTCAGGTTAACTAATCCTCCTCCTTATTGTCTAAACGGGGAGGCGGTGCCTCATGAGCTGGCTGTGATCCTTACCTGGCAGAGAGGGAGAAAGGGAAAGCTTTGAAGTGAGTCCTTCAAAACAGCGAGCGCTGCCTCTGTGCCTGCCCCTTCCCTCTCCCCGGAGCCCCAGTTACAGCTTCCAACTGAACATGTCTTCTTTTGTAATTCTGCCTTTGAAATGTTCTCAAGCATGAGGGGAAATGCAGAAGCTGCCAAAAGCTTCCAAAATTTATGGTTGGTAGGAATCTGCTGTTTCTGTGAAGTCTGTACTATTCCCTCTGCTGACTGTATTTTCATGCTTCTCTCTTCCCCTTGCCTCAGTGATCAAATAGTGAAAACCAAAATCACAGTCACTTCTAAAATGCATAAAAACCAAAGCACAAAATCGCTTTGCCATGCTTTCTCCTGTAGGAAACAGGTATATGTTTTTTTCCAAACTGCTGAATCACAGAATCTACACATAAAAGTCATGAACAAACTAGATGAAATTTTCAAGTGCTACAAGTAATTATGCAACACAGAAAAAA